AGCACTCTCAGCAAGTAAGGTGGCTTGCAGGCATCCTCAAAAATTGTCTTGCATCATCGAACTCCTTGTAAGGAACATGAAGACGATGGGAAGAACTTCGCTGGCCAAGAAATTTTGCCTATATCTCCCATACCAAAGGTGACAAAAAAGATGGCAAAATGGGCGGATCAAATGATCCATTTTCATGGAAGACGAAGGTTTTGGATCGATTGTCAAAATGCCAAACAATGACAGCAAATTGGTTTTGAAGAAGAGAATGGAAATGAAAATGACAAGTGTGGAATATAAGTGCATTTATAGGGGTGTGAAGGTGAAGAGATAGAATATGAACAGCCACATTCGTGCCTAGTAACTGGAATCAAATGGCCCGAAATTTTAGGAAAAGAGACAGAAATATCAAGAGAAAATGTGCGTGAATCTTATCATAAAGCAGTTAATCAGCTTCTTGTACTGCTCGACCAAAGACTTGGTTTGCTCAATTCCTTGGGAGGCATTACGCTTTTTAGCAGCCATTCTCGCCTTGCAGTTGTCCATTCTTGCTTGCAGCTCATTCATCTGTGCAGCCAAACTGGTCATCAAAGAGTTTTCAATCATAACTTCGGAAGAGATTTCTTTCAATTCGTCCTCAGCTTAGTTGATCTCCAGAAGCAAAGACTCTCTTTCAGATACAGCGCGAAGATATTGAATACTCTTGGCCTTCAGTTCAGCATTTTTGGCCAACAAGGAGAGAATCTCGGAATGGACAACTTTCAACGTCGCTTTAAAATCAGCAGAAAGATTGAGCGACGGAAGTATCAGTGCTTGCGCCAACTTCGCACTCAAATGCTCAAGCTTATCCTTATGTTTGGCAGCACTAGCCTGACCGATATCCATATTCATAAAGGACACATACTCAAATATCGACTGCTTAAGGAACTTCATATCTTCATCTGAAAAAGCAAAAGGACGACTGGTTGAAGTAGGGCGAGACGTCTTGACTTGCCCCAAGGAAGTGAACAACTACTGGATGGAACGCACAATTTTATCAGCATCCTGCAAAAAAAATTGCTAACATTGAGGGTTTTCACTACAATAAACAAAGTGGAAGTAAAAGTGAAGCAAATATTACCTCATCAGCAATCTTGGGAGGTGGCATATCCCCAGCCAAATCTACCACCTGTGGCTCCACCATTTGTGAGGACTTCCCCCTGTCTGGACGAGAAGACTTTGCCACAACGGGCAAACCCATGGGAGCATCTGCAGAACTCAAAAAGCAACAAATCAAAAATCAATAGCACAAGCAAAGGTAAAACATCAAAAAATGTAATACCTTCTGGTTCGACGTTTGGGGGGTTGACGCCTTGGGAAGAAGGTGGCTCATCCATTGGTTGTGATGAGGATTCTGGGGCTGAAGGTTTCTCTTTAAACGTAGTCCCTTCATCAGCTGGTTTGGATAAAGCAGTCTCAGCAGAGGATGATGAAGCAGGAGCTGCCAACACCAAAGCCTTCAAAGGAGAGGCTAAACTTTTCTGAGAAATCCAAATAAACCATCAGCACATAGAAAAGTTTCAAGTATAGAAAGGTATGCTTGTGAGTAAACTAATTTAATTACCTTTCTCCTGACGATGAGAGGAGTGTCATCATCATCCTCCTCCAAAATGCGAGATGTTGAGGCTGGCCGTTTGCGGCTTGGGGCACTTTTAGCTGCAGTGGGCTTGGTAGGAAGAGAAGTAGATGGATGAACAGACTGTTTAGCACGAGCAGGGGAGGAAGGATTCCTAATGGACACAGGGGTGACCAAAACAGGAGAAGTGGAAGAAATGTTTGGCTGATCCAGTGAATGGAAAGCACGATTGACATCAGTTGCAAACAATCTGCGCTTCACTGATGACCAGAGTTGTTCAAAAAGGGGATGGATGACACGGCTAGGATTGAAGGGGGCTAATGGAAAGTTACTCGTCAAAAGAATATTATGAGCATCTATAACTTCTGTCTTTGCCTTATTAATGATGTGGAAGCGATCTATCAAATTTCTTGAATAACAAGGGGGAACAGGCCAAATTTGGCCAAAACCAAGTTGATGAGCAAAAAATTGGGGAACATATATTTCAACCCCAACTTTGGCATTGGTTCCAGTTAAAATATTATGGAACAACTCCATCCTGGTCAAAAATTGAACCCAAACGAGCAGAGAGGTGCTGGCACTGTCCAGGGTGGATGGGGGTTGCACATAATCTGGAGTTAAAGGGGGAGGAAAAGGAAAGAAAGAAAGATTTGAATTCAAAGTATAAAAGAATGAAAAGATGTCCCTTCTGGACATATTTACAAGGCTCAGTAGGTCAATAGCTAGCCCATAGCAGCTAGCAGAATGAAGGGACAAGGATAGAGCACCAAGTGATGGAAAATAGGCTCTCAACCATATTTGAGTGAACTAAAGAGGCCTACTGCCAGTGGGAGATGCACCATTCTTCAATTAGAATTGAAGAGAAGTCATGTCTCTATAGAGAGCAGCCAAAAGGAAAGAACACAAATTCAGAGACCTACCACGCGTCAATTCGTGCGCTATGGGTAAATAGCTCATAGAAGGCTTCATGCTTGGTACACACAGAATATATTTACAAAGCCAAATCTGAAGAAAGGCCACACGCTCAGCATGGGAAGGCTCAGCGCTCGAGTGATTATAACTGCTTTGCAGGCTTGAATAGGACTCGGTGAGTTATCTGTCAAATTTTGGGATGACACCAGAAATCAAAATACCAGGGAAAATGGTATCGCCCAAAGGTGGCAGATTTACTAGGGCCCTAACATCCCTTAAAGTAATGTACATGGGACCAAAAGGGAAAATAAAAGTATTATACTTAGAGGACCAAAAATTTAAAGCAATAGGGAAAAGCGCTGGATCAAAAATGGGGGGTTGAAGAGAGATTTCTAACAAATTAGAAATCCTAGCACTATAAAAATTGCCTTGGTAGGACCATGGCCCACAAGGCGAGCATGCTATCTACGGAAAATAATATCAGATTTAGGCCAAGTGTGAATACCTCTTTCGCGAAGCGGCCTCAGCGGCAAAGAGTTCAGAAACGGAGGGCCTTGAGTACAAGAGAACAGCTGGCCCACCGCCACTTGTTCGACGGCCTCGGCGTTGTTGAATGAAGGACCTAGATAGAACTCATTGAGTTCGACATTGGCTGGTGCAAGGAAGTTCGGAGTTATATATGGCCGAGTGAGGATTTTCTGGAAGTCTTCGAAACTGAAAGAGTGACCAGATTGGATTTGTGAAGCAGTCATTGGGAACGAATAAAGTTTTGTTGAAATTTGCTTGAGAAACGTAGCAGAAAAGCAAGAAGATGAACAGTAATATTGCGGGAGAGAAGCGCGAAACAATGAGGCGTGATTTAGTGGTGCGATGGAATGGCGTGTATTTGGGGGTTATAAGGGTTTGCAACGTCGCACCTTTTCAGGCTATGGAAGAAAATAATGATTAAAATTCTTGGAAATTTCAAATGCTGTTGGGAAACACAAAGTGAATATGGTAAAAATTAATAATTGGTATTAATTCTGCCATATTGGGGATAATTGTTGACACTCTAAAAGTGCAGTCCAAATCGAATAGCTCAAAGAATGAAGCCCAACTGAGCAATCTAGGATAAAGTCCCAAATATGGTTATTAATGAATGCAGTGGAAGCCCACGAACGCGGTAACACTATCGCCCAAACTTGCAAGACGCTCAAGATCTGAGTGAATAAAGTGCCTTGCAGTTGCCCAGAGTTATGACTCTGTTCTCGCCCAAACCTTCGAATCGCCTAGGATCTTAGTAAACATAAGATGTTGTGGTTATCCAAAAGTGCAGTTATCGAAATAGTTATTAAGTAATCTTATCACGTTCCACGATTCAAGGAGTTCAGTTGAAGACGGTTGAACGACAAAGAGTAGTTGCAGCAATTAGAGACGGCAGTTCCACGATAAGTTGGCCACCATGAAGAAAGTGGACAGTTATAAAGCAATTAAACAGTTTCTAAGCGGTTGATCACGAAAAGATCATCAAGGGAATATAAAAGGAAGACAAGATAGAGAGCAAAAGATCCCGAATCAAACACTCTCAAACAGAGAATATGTAATTTCAATTTCTTAGTTTAGACTTAAACATTTCTTTTCAGTACTCGTGTGCTTGCGCTTCTTGGAGGCATTCTGTTTAGTTCCAATTGTAAAGTCATCGTCAATAAAACACCCCTTTTTGGAATTTTATCTCAAGAGGTTTGTTCCTTACACAATCGTCTGATCCATTTTTAATTGTTAGCGACTACCAGCGCGAAACAATATCTTACATCATAAAACTCGTCAAACTATTTTCTCTTTTATGATCTTAGCGCAGTAGAACAGAGCCCTTAATTTTTATTGCATTACTGATATATCCTATAAACTTCCTTTTTATCTTTTGGTTTGATGATGTTTCATGTGCTTTTGCATAAAACTCTGAAATTACTCTCTTTGCTTTACTTTTAGTTGGCTTTTACTTTTTTGAAAGCATGTGCATTTTTTATATTTCAATACATCGCTATGTATTATCCTTTAGATATACCGTCCATCCAAAACTTAATTTTCTCATTCTAATATCACATTTCATTTGCTGAAATTGTACCCTTGTACTCTTCTAGTAACCCCTTCCCCCGTGAGGTTTGCAATCCTAAAACATACATGCCAGAAAAACAGAAAACGACAAAAAGGGATTTGTGTGTGACCTGTATGGAATATTTACATGAACTCTGTTCTTAAGAAATTACAGCACTAAAGTATTCTGAGCACGAGTTTCTCTCTCCTTTCACATCTTAGCTAAATGCTCTATGAAGCGTTTTAAAGCTTTCTTCATATGATTTTTCACATTTATTCCTTCAACCATTAACTCCATAATCGCTTTTCATGTTATTTGCGTTTTCATTGCAAAGATTAGTTTGGGCAAAATCGCTGTATGTCCTCTGATTTCTCAAATTTTTTCCTTGACTCATTTATTTGGTGATGGCAGCACGTGAAAAGGACTGCCTTGCGAGATTATAACGCTGTCAGCGCTGAGGTTCTATGCGAGGTACTTATCATCGTGCAGTTAGTTTTCTTGTTCCATTAGCATTCCAAATTATCCTAGCCTACTATATCCTTTGGAAATTGGTTATTGACATCTTTATGAAAGACTGACGTGCTTCTCTTTCTCTAGCTCCGGTTTGATGTGCCTCAGCTGTACAAATTTCACAAGAAAAAGGAGGTTGATGTGGCTGTGGACCTCTGGCGGTTCGTTCCTCAAAAATATGGAGAAAAGCATTTGTAACATTTAAGTGGTAATGCGAGGTTAGGCTCATAAAGAATTTACTATTTGGTGGAGAAATGGAGAAACAAGATTTTTCATTAGAGCTCTGTAAGATAAACTTGTTCGGGGCATGTGGAATTCCTTATATAGTTAAGCCTGGATAATTCTATTATCGGAGAAGTTTCCCTTTCCATGTGATTAATGCTGCTTGTTATTTCTTTCAATTTATCGATTTACCATTTGTTTTCTGTTACTTGAGCTGGGCTTTAATTTCTCAAGTCGTTTGTTATCACAAATATGGATTTTTTATTTTATTTTAATAATAATCGAATGAAATTTAATACATTAAAATTATAAAAATATTTCTGATTTCCTTGAAAATTATTTGTGAACGGTTCAATTACGAATTGATTGTAAGATGCTAATGGGACCGGATCAAGATCTTGTTAACCAACTCCCCACGAAACGAATAATTTCTCTCGTCTCGCTTACTTCCCGTGTAAAACTCTAAATTAGTCTAATTCATTAATTAGACAAAAGATGGATGGTAGTAATGATTATGAGAATTATAACACGGATAATTCTGATGACCATGACGAGGAAGAGTCGAAAGAGGAGGGAGGAGGGAGCAGCCGGAGATGAGAATGAAGATGAGCGGAAGGGTGCTAGATGGCAGAACTTGGGAAAGAGTAACTAGCCATTGCTTGATTCTCTTCATTTTAAAATTCTTATATTTCACTCATATTCAACCATACATTCACACAGTTATTTTGTTCGTAAATTTAATTTTTTTTTTCTACTTTTAAGTTACACGGTCTTAAAAAAATCACTATTCAAAAAATCATTTTTTCCCAATTTAATTTTAGAAATAAAGCGGTACCAATTTGCTCTGATATCATTTGTTATGATTTAAACGAGTATAATAATATTGCAATATAAAAATTAGATCAAACAAGAACACAAAATTTACGTGATAAAAATATATTTTCAATAGAAGAAGGGATTTTTATTAAGGGTCCGTTTGATTGTAAACATGAAATTAAATTGAATTGAAAACGAATTTCAGGAAATTGAATTGCCTAGAAAATGTTTTCTTGTGAATTGTAAATTATTGTGTTTGATTGGTATAATTTTCCACTTGAAAAATGTTGAAATAATTTTTTTTTATTGTTCGTTTGGCTTTGTTTTACATGAAAATTGTTAATTAAAGGGATATAATTTAATGGTATTGGGGATGAAATTTGTTTCCATTGCAAAAAATAAAAAATAAAAATTCAAGAAAATAATCGATCTTTTGGCGTTTATTTGACTTTGTTTTACATAAAAATTTCAATTAAAGACAAATATTTTTTTTTTACAATAATTCTTAGAATTTGTTAACTTTGCCAACAAAATAATAATAATAATAATAATAATAATAAAATGCTACAGTAACCGAGAAAACCAGGTGGGAATTGGTTTTCCCTAAAAACCATGAAAATTCCAAACTTCAATAAAAGCAAGAACTTGAATTCCATGGAAAAAATAATCCCATCAAACACCTTAATGTTGAAAAATGTTGTTGAAATTCTATTTTCCAGGAAAAATGTATCCCTATCAAACATGCCCTAATATCAATAATGAAGGATTACAAATTATTGTATAGAACTAGTCTGCGTCTCGTGCGTTGCACGAATTTTGGTTTTATTAGCGTAAAATTTATAGATTGTACACAAAGTATTTGGAAATAAGAAACGTTTGTTTAATTCTCATCTTTTGGTTGACTGTATATTTTATATCACGATAATTTATTTTTATTCTTATAAATAAGTATAATGAATGTTGTGATTGTATATATGTCAACGATAATTTATTTTTAATTATTTATTGTATTTTTTTGTTTAATGTAGATGAAGATTTTTTTTTTATCTGATATTGAAAATAAGTTGTAAATTGAATTTTGCAAAATACTTTTCTTTAGCAACTTCAATTTGAGAGGCTATACTTGTAGTTTAAAAATAACTCATGCAGTTGTAAATTGAAAGAGAATATCCACATACACAAACATTCAAATAACAAACTCAGGTTCGCACGTAAAATAATTTGAAATGACACTTATTGGATGACCAACTCCCTTATTCATGTAAGAATTAGAACCCTAACAGCAGACCTATCTTTCGGACGATACAACAGTCACTTCAAGGTTGGTAGGGTAAAAGAATTAAAAAAAAATTAAATAAATTATATTTGAAAGAGAAAAGAATTAAATAAATTTATCCACATACAATAAATTTTATAAAGTAAAATTTTCAATTTTAATTAAATAATATTTATATATTCTTCATTTAATTTTCATAACTTTATTTTTTTTTACTTCTAAATAATTTTAAACGAATTTTTTTACTTATATAAGTAATTTTTACATATATTAGAAATATTTTTTGTTAATATGTTTATTTTTAAATTTTCTTTAACTAAAAGTGATTTTTTTTTTTACTTATAAAAGTGGTCAGCATGGAGTAAGGCGGGAGGTATGGAAAGTTACGTGTTACATAGATTCACATTGCCTCTCTTACACTATATATATATAATATAATAATATAAGCAAATGAGTTGATTTGAAAAGGCGTGGCCATAGCGTATGAAAATTGAGAACGGAAAAATAAAATAAAATTTTTTTTGAATAGTCCTTCGTGCACGGAGATCACACTATATATAATTTTTTTTAAAATTCTTTTCTCTTCAATTTTTTTAACCTACAAATAACTTTTTCGTTAAAACTGAAAAATTAAGTTTTATTTGGAAGAGAAAAGAATTAAAAAAAAATTGATTTTTTTTAAAGAAAAACGACTTATACACATTTGTTAACATATTCGTTTAATCTCTGTTTAACTATTTTCGATATTTATTTAGATCATTCGATGTCTCTACAATATAGTTCTCAAAATGAGTTTTAACAGAATATAAAACATTTATCAATTCAGCTATCGTACAATCGTAAATAAATTTTTAAAGTCAGCTTGTTATCGAAAATTTCGAATATATAGTTTGAAAATGCCTACTTCGACGTCCCATAACATTTGCTACAATTGACCGTTTCACGTGCCCGTTAATGACGTGCAATACTATGACGTGAGTACTTCAAAACGACATTAAGAATGTAATATTTCGATTTCGTTTGATATCTCGTAATGAGCTTAAAAATGAACACAAAAACATAAGTAAGAAAAAAATTCATTTCTCTCTCCGTGCACGGAGTCCTCTTATTTTATTTTTTTCTTCTTTTTAAATAAATGATAATACCTCTTTATACTATATAAACTAACTACAATGATACATACATACATACATACATACATACATACATACATACATATATATTTTATTTTTTTAATTTTTTTTTTTTTTTACAACTCGAAGCAAACTTTTTACTATGTAAAGAAATATATTTAAAACTTTGAGTTAATATTTAATCGAAAGTAATATTTAGATAAATTTAATTTAAAAAATTCAATATTACTAAAAATATTACTATAAATTAAATATTGTCTAAAATTATTAGATATATCAAACTACGATGATATAGTTTTTTTTTTAATTTTCTATATCTATAATAATGTAAAAAAAAAATATTCATGCATTCTATGTACAGAGGAACGCATCGTTTTTGCTCCCCACTTGAAAAAAAATAAAATTTTAAATAATTGAAAAAAAATTTACATCATACCGCATAATATTTTTTGAGCAAAACGATGTATTGAGAAAAAATGTTGCGCAAAAAATTAACAAATAGTAATAAAAAATTGATTTAAAAAAAAAGCGATTTATACGCATTTTTTAACACATACATTTAATATCCGTTTAACTATTTTTGATATTTATTTAAATCATTCGATATCTCTACGATATAGTTCTCAAAATGAGTTTCAAGAGAATATAAAACATTTATGATTTGACTATCATACAATCGTCGACGAATTTTTAAAGTTAGTTTGTTATCGAAAATTTCGAAATAGTAATAAAATAATTGATTCTTTTAAGAAAAAAATGACTTATGCGTATTTTTTAATATATACGTTTAATGTCCATTTAACTATTTTTTATATTTTTTAAATATTTGTGTTGTTTACATTATAAATTTTTTTCAATTTAAAATTCTTTTCTCTTAATAATTCCAAAAAGAAACTTAGTTTTGATTTGCATTATAAATAATTTTTCTTT